TGAATACAGTAAAAAAAATTGGACACCATGTGTATTTAAAGTAGTTTTCGGTTATTATTTTTAGTTAGGACTTGTGTATGTTTAGATTTCATTATCTTTCCCTAAAGATAAATAATTTATCCGATGTTTGTATTCGTACAATCAGTAGAGATCGTTAGATTATTGTTTAAAGTTGACGGACACGCATGTCTTAATTATTTTTTTTTTTTTTTTTACGAATTGGTCAAACCCAAACTCAAACAAAAACATTGTTTTCAATCGTTATGAGTCTCCTGATTGAATAGAATTTTATTATAAATAATTGTCTTGTAAATGGAATTTTTAAAGCATTCTGAATATTAAAAATAAAGAAAAAAGTGTGCAAGAGAATAAGAAACACTACCTGCCAAAAAAAAAGTGAAGTTTTGTTTTATCGGCTGAAAAATATAGGAAATCTGATCCTATATTTAAAGGAACCAACACACACAAACAACCCGATGTGAGCTGTCCCCCTTCCATTTTCCCGATGTCTCTTAATCGTGTTTTCAAATTGATTTTGTGCAAAAACAATTATATTTTTCCCATTTTGGGCGCTGTTAGAACCACCACAAGGTACTTTTATGTAGTCCTGTAAAGTTTTGTTGAAATCGGTTGAAAAATGTAGGAAATCCGATCCAATATATAAACATTACAGACACACACATACACACAATCTGCGTTTTATAATAAGTAAGATCTCTAACTATTACTTTCTATTTTTTCTTCTTCTACTGTCGATTCTCGGCGTCAGTCTATAAGTAGTTGGACGAGTCTAAGTCCTATTCTGGAGGGGTGTGTTTATATCCACAACATTTAACACTCGTCAGAGTTTACCTTGACTTTCATAGTTAGACTGAAAATATCTATGAGCGAATTTAGAAAATGTAACGATATTTTTACTTCTGTTTATAAATACACGTTTCAAAATAAAACTCCTACATTTGCTTTGATAAAGTACATCAGAGAACGAAACGCGTCGGTAAAGAAATGTTTTTCCTTTTTGTCTTTATATCTACCCCAGTCCTTCTTGAGTATATATAATTATATCAACGAAAAACATTACTTTTAGTTGGATGGAGTCCTAATGGAAGAAACGTGTCACCTAAATTTTATCGACTTTGTCATTAATTTTCGTAACATATATATATATAAATATATATATATATATATATATATATATATATATATATATATATATATATGTATATATATATATATATATATGAAAAATATAGAGAAAATATGAAAAAAACTCGTAAGGTAAATAATCCAAAGTTCTTTAGTATTTTTGTTATTATTTTTAAAAAATAGTGCTCGATACAAAAGTAGAGCATAAATATAATTATTTATTTAAAAATATGATTCAACGCGACATAAGAGTTCTCATGTTTCAAAACAAGAGCCGAAAACTTCAATATAATTATTTGAATTAAATTAATTCAATCTAATTCAAATAATTATATTGAAGTTTTCGGCTCTTGTTTTGAAACATGAGAACTCTTATGTCGCGTTGGAATCATATTTTTAAATAAATAATTATATATATATATATATATATATATATATATGCAATTTTTATATATATTATTTATATATTATATATGCGCGGTACTTATTGGAAAGCGCTCAATATCAGTGATAGAGCTAACATATTTAGTTGGATTGATGTGAATTTGTGACCCTTGGTTTCACGCTATTTGTGATCGTCAGACAAACTGATTAATTTTGAAATTTTGGATTTATTTATGGTTGCGTATATTGGTGTTTTGTAGTAGTGGGAGGAAAAATTGTCGTCGGACGCAGACACACATACACGCACGTTCACGCATTGCAGCTCACACAAACATAAACATATATGAACAGTGTGGGACTGGGCGTATATGTGCATCCATGCGTCGTTGCGTACATATGTACGCAATTGGTTGCTGTATTCAATGTTGAATCTGTGTAGTGAACTTTTTCCCAAGTGCTGGTCAACTTATAGATGGTTCGTCTATTTTGCTCTCGGAATAATGTTTTCTCGCACACACATACACTTATGCGCACGCCTATACGCCTGAGTTTTTTTTTCATTACTTAAGATGGGGTCTGTGTAACACTACGGTAGGTAGATTTGTTATTATTTTTTTAATTTTTTAATGTTGTTTTGTTATTATTTTTAATGCAGGTTATTTGCTTGTTTTTGGCGAATACGCTTATGTAAATGGTAGAAATTCTAATTCATTTCATAAGAAATATGGTTCAAGCTTTCGACTTTCTTACGACATCATCAGGATAAGTAGAGACAATTGGGGAGTTTCGTAGAACAAGTAGATGTTGTGATGGAGGCAAAGAGATATGTGGCGCAAGCGAGGTGTACATATGAGTGTATGTAGGCATATCTTGGAACTTATTTTCAAGTTTTTGTTGTGTTTATATTGTCACTTGTGATGGACAAGATAATGTTACGTAAATCCTTTTCATTGTCACTCATGATGAATTCAAATACGAAACAGACACTGAAAATCATGCGTGCAACAAATAAATGACTGCACTTATGAAGAAACTGATACTGGACCAGAAGGTAATCTGCTTATCTTATATATATAGTCAACGTTCCAGAAACTCTTGACATTATAACCTACAATCAAATATTCCGATTGTTTTCAGACACAAGTATGATAGCTGTCGGCTTATATTCAAGAACAACCCAAATGATTACGAGAAAGTACCAAAAGGCATCGATTTGAAAAACGCGTCAAATCTATTTCGGAAATGGCGTACGTTGATTGGCTTAAATAGCAAGACGTAATCGGAAAAGTCAGCTTTCTCACTTTCTCAGCTTGGAATTCCGTGGATGATCTCAGGGTCAAACTTTGTTGTATGACGAGGTGCTCGGCCCCATCCACTTAGCAAAAAACAATATTTCAATGACCAGAAGAACAGAAAATTGATTTAAAGAAAGGTGTTGATGTACCGAGGACTTTTCAGCATCTCTTCGTATCTAGTGTTATTTGGCATATGTTAATATGTAAAGATAAATATGTAAAGATAAGTATGAAAGATAAATATTAAAGAGAAAAATAGAGATATCTAGCTACCTAAATAGATAAATGCATATAGATAGAAACAGAATATATATATATATATATATATATATATATATATATATATATATACCCAAGTATATAATTGGGGTATACGGAATAAATTCCAATAACTAACAATTACTATTCTTAAATGAGTGCTCAATACAGAGTAGAGCAGATATAATTATTATTTATAAAAAAATAAAAAAAAACATAAATATGCTATAAAATCACTACAAAAATAGCCATTTTGTTTCAACACCCTCGGTGTCTTATCAAGTGATGATGTTGAAGATAAAATAAATGGTTTTAAAAGTTTCCTTCAACATCATCACTTGATAAGACACCGAGGGTGTTGAAACAAAATGGCTATTTTGTAGTGATTTTATAGCATACTTATGTTATAATTTTTTATAAATAATAATTATATATATATATATATATATATATATATATATATATATATATATATAGGTATCTGTGTGTGTTTGTGCGTGTGTGTATGTGTGTATGTAAAATAGATAGGTTAGTTAATAAAACAAGGGCAAACGAAAGGATACCAATATAATCAGTACGAAAAACATTTATTAAATGTTAATTATTAATTATATGTCGAAAATGAAGCACGGAAAGAAAGGTTTTAAATCCTGAATTTTCAGGTACGTCTGTGTCCTTCATCAACGGCGTAAGAAACAAAGAAATGGGAATTACTCTCCGACAGAAGTTTTTATGGACGGTGTGTTTTCTGGTGGAGATCATATTATTAGCAAAAACCCGAACTGTTTGATTAAAAAAAAAA